GATCCACATGACTACTGCAGGTACAGAGCTAGTGAACACATTTGTGTTGATCCATCGATATGGTGTCCAACACGTACGCGGAATAACGTCGTTTATTACGGCCCATCGTCATCATTCTCACCATCCTACATTTTAGCTGGAGGTGAAAAATACCTCAGTTATTGTGCTGCAATAAAATGTTGTAGGATATTCGAAAAGCGGAAATGACAAATAGTAAACAGTAAAAAGAACACGATAGAAACAAGTGATATTATGCATCTTATTGCTATCCATTAACGGTAACATCGTAGTTGTGTGGTGAGGCTAGGCTGGATGAAGAGGGACAAAGGAATTCAAAACGCACTCGCTAATGAGGTCGCTTCTTCACCATGTCACCATGTATCCAACAAACGTTTTCATCACCTTTCTGGCCCCCAAAAGTAGTCGAAATGCTCCAACCGAGGTCGCATTCAAACTAAGGGTCTCCATTCCTCATCGGTTGGCCTACTTTCCTCTACTCTCATCCAGCTTCTGGTCGCTTAAACAACTCACGTCGTGGAAGTCGATGTGCTGGGATGCGTGACAATCGGCGGCTGATACGTTAAATAATGGTGCTGAGCTATTCACTCTTTTCCTGCATCAAATAGGAGACGCCGAACACGCTCATCGCCCATGCCCACTATAAATGCAACACCCTGTTGGTGCTGTGGTCGAAAGTGGCTAGCCTCTGCATCGATCGATTTGATGGGCCAAGTTTCACAATCGTACAGTAGAGTTGAACGGACGGCTGCATTATAGAGTCTGCCCTTCAGAGTGAGACTAATGCCGCGCCGACGCCACAAATAGCGAAGTTAAACAAAAGCACCTCGAGCTTTGGGTACGCGGTTTGTCTCTTTAGCTTTTGTTTTACAGTTGCTGATACAGCTGCCTAGGTAGTTGAATTTCTGTACGATTTCTAGGTGATCCCCACCAAGGGTCAGTGCAGGGGTGGTATTGGCCAATCTTAGTGGGATGCTTTGCATTTTGAGGGTTCACAGTAGAGCCTTGAACGGCTGACAGCCTGTGCTAATCGGCCCACTGCTGTTTGACACGTTGGTAAGCTGTCACAGATCAGAGCAATGTTGTCAGCACACTCCAAGTTAATAAGTCGACCACCTGGAAGCATCTGCACATTTTTCACGCCATTTTCAGTGAACCCGGTTCCCCGACCTCATCAGTTTAAAAGGAATGATGACAGCAGGCAGGTTTGTCATACAACGCTGTGCTGTGCTGTTTACCTACTTCTCTGGCACCCCTTTCTTAATTGATCAGTTCTAAAGAGCACTTCGATCCACCTCATTCAAGGTACCTCTGATGTCGAGGATCACTCATATAAGTGGCGGTGCTTCAACTATTGACGTAAATCGGGGATGTAATCATTGCAGCCACGATTTTGACGAAACCTTGCTTGTTTTACACAAATATGGCTTTCATGAGTGCAAATCAGTATATGGACGAAGACAGGCAAGTAATTTAGATGCAATTGAGATCAGAATTATCCGTTTATAACTGCTTCATTCCGAACGTGATCCTCTCGTGAAATTAGGACTATTACGAGCGTCTCTAGCCGGTTGTGACAGTTTCCTGCTTCCACAGTTTCACCAATACATGGTTTTAATCGTCTACAATAGCTGGTCACTCGTATTTAAAGACATCTAAATGACATAAATAAAGTTCTTCAGCCTTGCTCAATTTCAGCAGTCGGATCTGACATTCATCTTTTGCGTGTAAGGGTGGATCCAAAGGGACAGCCCATGGAATAGGACCGTCACTGGCCTGTACAGTTAAATCGCTTTTCATTGTTCAACTCAACCGTCCAGGCGTTTTAACAGCATGTGAATGAGCTCTCCATCCTTATCGCACGTATTTTCGCTGACACCAAGTCTCTTGCCCATTTCCGATGGTTGTCGAAGGCGGCGACCGTTTCCATCTCCGATACACGGTGGGACATCTCCAGATTTCAGATCTTTGCGGGTCTTATTATGCTGGTTCCTAGTCGAAATACCTCGGATAGCATAGATGAGATGACTGCTTAGAGGCCCAATGTCCAGGTTGTCAATTTGATTTGCCACATGAAGACTTGTCTGTTGCTAATAACTTCTGGCAGATATATGACCAGTGACCCCCCACTGTGTTTTGCGAGCACTTCCTTAGCTCGGACAACAACTTACTTTGATACGCATTCAGAACGCCTGGCTTCACCAGTTTGCTGACGTCTATGCGCTCACAGCGTCACCGCATGCGTCCCTCCGAAGGGAACTGTGAGGCCGGCACGAACGAGTGCGTGGTCAGAGCCCACACTCGTACTTCAAATTCAGCGACACTTTTGGACACAGCCTCTCCAGGGGTAATTGATCGCGATGTGATCGGTTTGAGTCCGAGGTTGGTGGGCACCATGCCACTCTACTGCGGGTGCTGTTTCAGAAGTTAATGCTCACGAGATATAGACATGCATCCTCACACAGGTGTAGCAGCATCTCACCGTCTTAATCACGGGAGCCTACGTGGTGTTGGCCGTCCAGCTGCAGCTCATCGGTGGACAATTTTCCAGATGGTCAGCCAGTACTACGGTATCCCTACTTATGCTGTGACGAAAAATGTCGTTCAGTTGACGTTAGAAGTCACCCTACACCATGGCAACCAAGACAATCAGACACGTATTGGTAACGCGCGACATAAGCTTTGAGCGAGCCATCCTATCTGATGGTGCATATCCGGTTGTTGATTGGGATCCAATCAATTAGAGCAGCTTTAGCCCCGAGACTCAAAGTAATACCCACACCGGCTTGATCGGCATTCGAAGCTTCATCATCACCGAGTAAACACAATGATAAAGTATCGCCAGTTCCACATAATGAGGCTCGCAGGGTGAACAGATCTCGAATCTTGCAAGCAAGTTTTCGATAGGCAGCAGATGTCGATTGATAGTGTGTCTAGTGCTATCTATTTGACCAACTTCAAGTCAACTCAAGTCAAGCTAGGCTTTGTGTACCACCCCGATGGCTGAATTTTCAGCATTTCACGCTATAGACGGCAAATTAATTAAGACCGCATCACGAAGCTTGCAAAATTTCACAAATGCGAAAAATCCGCATGTGTCAGTCGAACGAACAATCTCGTAACGATAGAATATTTCTGTGCGAAGTCGTCGGAGTTATTGTCCGGTAGACGAGACAATATTACCTGAGCCTTTCTTGATAAACGGATTTATTTTACCAAAAGTAACAAATTGTGCAATGTACACAGTACCTCGATTTATTTTTTCAAAGAATCGATGAACTAAGATGGCCTCGGTCACCTTGGAAATCGCCCATCCTAGGAATCTGTCAAATATCTGAAAATTAATATATCCACAGTTGATAGCGTAAACGGAAACGGCCAATTTCAACGCCCCCGCGATAAATTGTGCACGTTGAGGTATAAAACGAGGACCGATGTTTTCAAATAGAAGCTAATGTACTGAGGTTATCCGCTTGCTTGGACATGGACTTGCCAACTGGACCGGAGCCGACGTCTTGCGATTACCTTTAAGTTTAAACATGAAGGCAAGCGATCATCCGAACGAAATTGGCAAGGTCCGAGAATTTGGAGGTTGAAAAGAGGAGGAATAAAAGTGGTTGGAATGGGACGATGTGGATGAAGAAAGGCAAGGGGAGATGAGAAGGCAGGAAGACCTGAGCAGTAACATATTCGCCCCTATCCATCCTGCCCAATGCAGCAGATATGACGCCGTTGCTTATTCTGCGCGACGGTCAGAGCATCAGGAAATTGTTTAAATAGAAGTTTCTTGTCAATCTAGCTCGGCTTTGCGACATTTTATTTATGTGCCATGCGATCTCTGGATTTGCAATCCGCACGGCAGGGGATTTCTTGTATTCCGACACCGATATCGCCATAACTCGGGCAAAATGTTCCGATATGTCACTACTCGATGCTCAACACATAGAGGGTGCGTTATGCGCCTCAGATCCGGCATTACAAGCTTGTATCGGTGTCGACGGGTGTTGCTTGGTACGCGCACCTGCAAAAGCAGCCTAAGCATGGGAAAGTTGCCCAGATGGAATATCCGGTGCGTCATTGTGCGGTCCATTCAAAACCGACGATACGACAAGGTGTACAGCTCTGATCACCGGTCTTCATACGAGATATCCATTAAACTGGGAATCAGCCTGGTAGCCTTATGCTGAACATGTTCCAGTTTTTGCGCCTCGCCACGAGTGATCGAACAATAGGCGGGGGAGTCATAATTCAGCCTTGGTCTTACGATGGGAGAGGCGAGTGGCAGACTCTTCAGGCCCAGTGCAGGAACCGGTTGCGCGCTCAGAGCATGTGCAGTCTGCTTCCATACAGCTTGTTCTTGTTGTCCACGGTCGCTGAGTATTCAGCAGTTTGTGATGACCATTGACAAATTTAGCTGGACAATGTATTGTGCCGACGCCAAGACGTGAGTGCGACAGGTCAGAATGCCAACCGGGCTCAAGTGATCTTCCTCGTTTCTTGCGCTCGCATTTTGACGTCCGGTGTTTTGGCCGAAATCTGGAATCTAGTCGGCTACTTGGTTGAATGCGCGGATCAGCTTACCTTCTCGAGAATGCGTGTACAGGTTCTCACTGATCTTGTAGATCAGCACAACGCTACCACTGTGCTCTGGATTGTCTGAACTACAGTACATCTTCGAGCATGGGCCCACCAACTACCTCATCTTGCGAGCCGAACTACCCAATCTCTTAATTATCTCGATCTTGAAATATCGAATATATTCCAAATAGGCTTTGTTCATAATGTATATGAAACAACTGTTCTTGGTAGATTGAGAGCGATCACTATGTACTCATGCGATTACCAACTTTTCGATCCATCGTATTTGGCCATTATGCCATTGTCATGCTGTTGTCATTTTTTCCCCATTTCTTAGTTCGTTTAAACTGTAACCCAAGTGTTCTGGAATCAAATATTTCCTACTTTTTTTCTTCACTCATTAGATTAGCAAACTGGAATCAACTTTGATCGACGAAACCGCCCAATCCATTGTTCTCACTCAACCATCGAATACAATTGGCTCAACTGTGCTATTGACCCCGACTCTCCTTACCGCAAACGCGGCCGTATTGACCAGCATTTCCTCCAGCTCGCTCGCCGCCGGTCGGCAGTTTGCAGTGATCAATGGTGCTGGCGATTTATCCGTTGATCACAGCTTGTCACAGCACACTGATGTTAATTTCCCTGCGGCTAGCATGACCGACCTCGGCACTCCAATTTCGTCATCACTTGGAACTGCGATAATCTTATTAATCTCTGCTGAGGTATCCGAACAGCATCACTTGTTCTAGTTTCCATACTGCACATTAGTATCAGATCTGTTCTATTCCTGATTCCCTGCCTGCGTTCTAAACTTAGTGTCAGACATCGCGCATTCCCACTGCGCGTCGCCTGCTGATGTCTGGGTTGGCACAGTGCTCGCCAATGTGACTCATTGAAATACTGCGATATTTGACTTCCAAATCTTACGGTAATGTTCTGCGATATACATCGCTTTTCAGAATCAAACTTATCTCTCGCGTACCCTACTAGACATCTTCGGAAGCTAGACGAAATGCTACCGTGATCCAACGGCATCCAAAATGGCTAGTGCATTTGTTTCGAGGACCACTTATTGGCATGGAGATGGCGTTTTCTAGCTAGCACTGGGACTGTGCAGTTGCATTGATTCATCGTGCGGGATGGGGTCGAGAAGTAGAAGCAGAATTAATTCATTCGTGTGTCGTATCCAATTTGAGATATTTGATCAACTTTGTGGGTTTCACCCGGATCTGGAACTTTATCAGTTTTGTTTAACTTAACCATATCTTGGTTACTAATGTTATCCCACTCCGCCGATTTTTTGAAATTATTTCGAAGTGCGACACGCAAAACGCCTTTTGTCTACTACGGGCATAAAGCCAGGAACAATTTTTAACAGGTTGTGAGAAAACATAATGGCAACAGGAGGAGACATCGCGCTGGTTTGAAAGTTGGTCTCCGACGATGCCTTTTGCAGAAGACGCACTTGCCACTCACCCTCTCCAGCAATGTGCATTCATTGCTAGGAAACACCACTAACTTCACGGCTCTAATACAACGAAAGAAGTATATAAACCCAGGTATTCTTACGTTACAAGGAAGCTGGTTGGACTCTGATATTGAAAATGGAGTCATTACCATGCCATTAGATCCGATCGCCCAAGTAAGCCAAGGAATCGTGGCGGCGGCGTCATGACATACGTTAATCAACTCAGTTGCAACCCAGTCAATCAACTATTCACTCACCTTACAAGTTCTCTTAGCTGTCATTTACTTGAACGCAAGCCTAAATTTCTAAGGGGCTTATAATCTCTTGTTATAAAAACTTCTACATTGCCCGTGATACATCATCATCCGGACTATTGCTTTTAGTTGAGCAAACTTCTTTGGTATTGCTGTCGAAACTAGAATGCTCTTTCTGCATTTTCGCCGGTGACAACGTTCTTCCAGTCACTTGATTTGGCAATTTTAACAACTTTCCCGACCAAACAGGACGCACAGCTTGATGTTGCGTATACCAACAAAATTCGTTTGTTTTCTATTCAAAAACGTGCACCACTAAGCAACTCGGACCATTGTATGCTAAAGATTTGCCCTACCATCTACCGTAAAACTAACTATGCTGCTTGGAAGAAAAGACAATTCAGGACTACCCGACGACGTAGTCGCTCGGTGGAAAATATCACGCAATTTCAAGAAACGCTTTCTTCAACCAATTTTTCAGTTTTTACAGATGAAGATCTAGGGCTTCAATGCGATCGTCTAACGTGTTACATAAACTTCGGTTTCTACCTATGCTACCCTATCGAGACCATCTACCTGAGGGCAGATAGATTTTCTTCACCCCGGCTGATGAAACAACTTCGAAAAAAGGCTTGCTTACAAACTCAAAATGACCATCTAAATCCAAAGCCTGACTGCAGCAATTAAAGCTAGAAATGGCAAGACTACACAGTTTATACATTGAAACGGTACTGGGAAACTGTAACTGCCTAGATCTCTGGAGAATGTTGAAGTAAATCCGTGATAAATGTACCATCAGCGCTACTGGAAAAGTGGATGTTGATAAACTCAATTCTGAGCTTAGTTCCTCTCTGTCAAGCGCTTTTCCATTGCTACTTTCACTAGCTCATACTCAATCGCATTATTTGATCAAGTTGAAGTCAACAGAGAGCTGAAGAAGCTAAATGCTAATAAAACTAGTGACCCTGATGACTTAGTACCCGTGGTTTTGAAGCAGGGCGCCGTTTCCCTTACGTTACCCCAGACTGATATTTCTAACAAATGTCTCACGATCGGTGCCATCCCCGACATCTGGTAGTCAGTCAGAATAAGGCGAATTCCTAAAAATGAACCACACAAGTATCGGCCTATTGCTTGTACTTCCGTGCTCTTAAAAGTCCTCGAAAAACTACTAGTTCCACGGATTTCCACAGCTACTCGTGCTGATAGTGTCTACCAGTTTTAGACCCCAACGCTCCACGCTTTATGGTTTCTCGTACCTTGTGCATTCAATAGCCTCTGCGCTAAATATGAAGTGCAGGTCCATGCAACTTCTTTTTCTTGATTATTCAAATATCTTTAGGAGTCTTGATCGATCAGTTCTGCTTAACCTAGTTTTTCCGAACGGAGTCTACCCTAATATCTGTGACCTGTTGCATGACTATTTCACTGATCGTACGCACTTTACACAAAAGCTCCTCTGTGCTCCGCGCCCGTAGTCTAGGGATGACGTGCTTGCTTCGTAACCTTGGGGCGCGGGTTCGAACCCGCGTAGGAGTGGGCGTCCTCGCGGTATACACAGCTCGCGTGCGACGGGTGGTGGTCACATGGCAGCGAAGCGCCGTTAGCACGCACAACGGACACAATATTTACATTACTTTATTATTATGCTCCCTACTGACTGTCGTTTTGCAGGGCTCGATCCTCTCACCCCTTTTATTCTCTTTATACGTCGAAGATTTCCTCATGCCATCAACACAAATTGAATGAAAATATGCTGACGATGTTGTCTTTGGATGCAGATTTCCCATCACTGAGACATCTACGCTTCAATGTGGTTTAGACGAACTTGTGAGTTGGTCATCCACTAGGTCCCTTAGCCTTAATGCTTCGAAATGTACTGATGTAACATTTCATTACTCCGCCCTGATAAACTGCGAGTAATTTTAGATGCTTTTCCTCTATTAACTTGGGAGGACAAAACCATTCTTATATATTTCGGTGCCTATTTTTCACAAAACATCTTTTCGTCTATGCACGTTTTGAAGACTTTTCACAGTGTCGGGAGGTTATTTTTCTATGCTTTCCGACTTAAGGAGCTCTCTGTACTGCGAAGCTTAATTTTGCGATTTGTAACTATATGAATACTACCTCACTGATTATACTGTTCCCCAGTAATCTTCCCTGGACTACTGCAGAACGACTTTGTTTTGATCGTGAGATCGATGAAACACATTTCCAAATGTGTTGGTTTACCGAGAGTCCATAGTCAGTTTTCTTACTCGTAAGAATTTGGACGCTTGTAAGAACTATTCTTCTACAGTCTTTCATCCGCTACATAATGCTGTCTCATTAACGTTATCTGTTTCTCATCCACGCTCAAAATTTAGGATTTTATTCTCTCGCATCTCTTCGTATCTTAACACAATTTTACCTTATTTTTTCACGCTTTCTTGTCCACCCTATGAAAGCCACAATGCTTTGTGCATGCGACTGCTTGAATGCCATCCACATACCTTTGAGTATTTAATTTTTCAGACTGTGTTTATGTATTATTAACTGGTCTCATTTATTCAATGTATCCGCAATGATGATTGTAAACGCTGATAATGCACCTATTTAAGTGTATAAAGCCTATGTTGACTTGACTTAACTATAAATTATTTTAGATTACACGGACAAATAACATTATGTCTCACTTCTAGTAGGGATGACACTTGACTTGCAATTCATATGTCACTGTTTCGAGTTTGTGTATGTAAACTAACTAATAAACTGCTGGTTTATTCTCGTTTGTGCGAGGCACGCCCGAAAAGGCATGATCATCGTAACAAAAACATGTATGCTTGGTAATTGAACGAACATGTTACAAGTTAACCAGTAACATACTGTATTTATGTCTGTTTGTATGTATGTACGTGTATGTGTAAGTAGCCATGTCGAGTTGCTTGTTTATTGTGACTAGATATGTGATTTTGTGCTGTCGATTCGCCAACCTAAGAACTCTGAAGCGGATGACGTTCGTGAAGTGCGTAAAGTCCTCCAGATAGGGAAGCAGCAGTGACCTTGTTGAGTGGCGAGTCACATCCGCCACGTTGCAGTGTTGTTAAACAGATATTTGTGGTTTTTTTATAGAGAGAACGCTTGTTATGCGAAAACCCACAACGTCCTGGAACACTGCCACCGAACCATTTGCTGGAACGGGCTTAACCCGAACCACCCAACTAGCATCACCGGGAGGTTGTTCGGCGAGCCAGCGGGTGACCTCGCAACATTCCTAGACCGAGCGCGACTGGCGGTGGTCACGAAACGTCTGTGCGACACATCGCCGTCATACTGGTACTTCTGCCTTTACCTTTTGTTCATTTCAAAATACAAGACGGTAGGAGCACACTGTCAATTTGTACTTATGCTTCGGCGGGCCTCTGTTGTTGCGCCCAAGCTTGAGAAACTGCTGTGGTTCGAATCCGGACGACACTGATTACAAGCCAAACACGCGAACTGTCACTGTTGCAGGACTGGGTGGATTGGCCTGTAGCTCTGTGATCGATCGGTTGTTCTGTCATTGAGAAGTTTACACCACGTAGCGATACGATCCATATGACTTTTGAACCTCACATTCATCTATGAAGACGGCGGAATCTTGGCTCATATCTTAGGCATAGAGTGTACAATGTGCGGTTTAGCCAATGCTACTACATAATTCAAAAACATGATCACTTGTGTTTATAACAAATGGCGTGGCCTTTAAATCGGCTGTACTGTTTTCACCGAACATCATTCTACGATATCGCTATGGATACATTAGTAGTTTTCTCGGAACATTTCAATATTAACGTTGGTCAAACTATTTCCAAAGTCACCCGCTACTGTCCTCCGCTTGCTTTTTATAAACGACTCAAGATACTGCGCACTTGAAAATGGTCCGTCGCGTTAGGAAATCTAAGTTGCAACATTGGCCTGTCAACAGAATGCAGCTTAAACTTATTCACTTCGGCAATGCTTAATTGTTGCT